TTTTTTTTGCTGAGGAAGACTGGCCCTGGGCTAACATCTGTGCCCATCTTCTTCCACTTTATATGGGATGCTGCCACAGCATGGCTTGGCAGTGCGCACCCGGGATCCAAACTGTGCGCACCCTGGGCCACCTCAGCGGAGCGTGCGCACTTAACCGCCTGCGCCACTGGGCCGGCCCCCAAGACTTATTATACATACAGTGTGGTATTGGAATAAGGATAGAAAAGTAGACCAACGGAACAGAATAAAGAATTATGAACCAAACCATATATATGGACCCCCAATATATGACAAAGGTGGCACTGCAGAGCCATAGGTAGAGGTCAATCACTTCAGTAGGACTGGGGAAATCAGATAACTCTATGAAAAAAATAAATCTTGACTCCTGGGTCTTGACCCATGGCCTAGTGGTTAAGGTCACTGTGCTCCACTTCAGCACCACTGCGTTCAGTTCCCAGGAGCGGACCTACACCACCCATTGGCAACCATGCTGTGGCAGCAACCCACACACAAAATAGGGGAAGATTGGCACAGATGTTAGCTCAGGGTGAATCTTCCTCTAAAAAACAGAAAAATCTTGACTCCTACTCACACCAAACATAAAAATTAATTCTAGATGTATTATAAATCTAAACGTGAAAGGTAAAATAATAACAAAGAAAAACATCTTCACGAGCTTTGGGTAAGAAAAAAGTTCTTAAATTGGACACAAAAAGCACTTAATAAAAGATAAAAATTTACAAACCAGAATAAGTCAAAATTAGAAATATCTGTTCATCAAAAGACAGCATTAACCAAATGAAAAGCCAAAAAAAAAAGTAAACAAATACTGAACAATAGCTAATGCTATGCATACTGAAGTATTTGGAGGGAGGCATGCTGATGTCTGATTATTATCAAGAAACGCATCAAAAATAAGATGGGTTAATGAATGCACACAGGGATGGAAAGATGGATAAAGAAAGTGTAGTAAAACGTTAATGGCAAGTTCTAGGCGATGGGTATACAGATGTTCACTGTAAAATACTTTCAATGTTGCCCTGTGTTTGAAATTTTTCATAACAAAATATTGGAGGTAAAAGAAACACTCCAGGCAAAATCTGAATATGGATTTGGCACCAAGTTTGTTTTAAACTTTAATGTGCATGAATCACTGACTCCTGTTAAAATGAAGAGCCTGATATAACAGGATTGAGGTGAGGCCTAAGGATCCCCCATCGCTCTCCCCATCAAAAAAAAAAAGTAACAAAGAAAATAAGTGGGAATAAATAAACAAGCAACTCACCCGGGACTTGGTGGTTTTCGGCTGCTCCTGGGAAATAAACAGCCACTCTAGAACCTGCTCTGTCCTGTGACTCTTGTGCCTCTGCCAGGGTCCTCCTGGGGGAGGCCTCTGGTCAGCGGTCCCCTGACCCAGGATGGATTCCTGACCTTGGAGTTTTCTGATCCTACTGCACGAATTGTCTTGCTCCTGGAGAGGTGGGACCTGTAGACTCAAGAAAAAACTCGCTTTAGTGGCATATTTCCTCTGGGCCCCAACCTTGGTCTCTTTTGCTAGTAAACACATTCACATGAGGCCAGGCCATGTGTTCTGCAGACTGTGGTCAATGCCGCTGCAGGGCAGAAGCAAGACGAAACACAAATGGGGAACCCAGCACACTGACGACAGTCCCCCGTCCCCAGCATCCACTTAAACAAGAAGACAATGCCCGATACTAAGAAATAAACAACTCTGTTTGGGAGGGTGTACACGAGTTACAGATTTTGAATAAAAAAGTCTCCATTTCAGTTAGAGTTTCTTCTCTCACTATTTAGACGTCCATGAACAATTCACTTAATCTCTCTCACTGGGTCTGATGTTTTGTTGTTGTTAAAACACTGGGAGTAAGATGAGATCAGGGTAGCAGTGTAGTTTTTTCATCTCCCCAAAACTCCCAATGAAACCAAAAGAGACCTACCAGAAGAGTAAAAGAACAAGCCCATAGACATCCAAAACAAACAAACAAAATCTAGGTGGCAGGGTCTACTCATGAACCCCAGGATACAGACAGATGTGACCCAACTACAGAGGGCAGTTCCCCTCAGAGGAAGTGCGCCAAGTGAGGGAAGATTCTGAGGGGCCACACGCTGCACATCTCCAAAGTCACCAATAAATGTGCACCCTCGACAGGAGAGCACCTCCCCCGACTGGAATCTGAGCAATGCCTCTAAGGCTCAGAGGTGCAGGAATATAAAAAATATATTCCCAAAGTCACTAAGTGACCTAACGTGCTGTGGCCACCTCAGAACATGAGCATCTGAGAAATTCCTGGCCAACAGCCACTTCCAGAAGCAGAGATCTTCACTATGAGGGAAAGCTGCTAGAAACAGAGACCCAACTGATCAGCACAGAAAGAGAGAAAAAAGATTCAAGCAGTGAGAGGGATGAGAGAGAGAGGAGATTCAGAGAACGAGAGGGAAAGGAGAGAGCAGGGAGGAGAGAGAGGCTATTAGACAGTAAGATGGAAGGTCCAGAGGAAGCTTCTTTCAGAAATTATTTTAACAACAAAGCACAAGATGTAAATTTGAGAGAAACACATGAGAAGACGAGGCATGTTGAACTCTAGGAAACACCGGACTTCCTGACAAGGCTTAGCGCTGAGTCAGGTCAGGTATGAGCGTGTGTGCTTATATTTCCAAAAGAATCACTGAGAAGATGAACTAGAAACTGTAAAAACGGTTACCTCTGGGGGAGGGAAAGAATAGGGCAGAAGAGATGGAAGCAAGGCTTGTCTGAATGCACTGCTATCCAGTTTCTTTTTTTTTTTAAAGATTTTATTTATTTTTATTTTTTCCCCCCAAAGCCCCAGTAGATAGTTGTATGTCATAGCTGCACATCCTTCTAGTTGCTGTATGTGGGACTCGGCCTCAGGAT